TCTCTGTCTCTCTTTGATAAGGTCTCTGCTGCCCTGCCTGTCCTGAAACCCACTCTGTAGCCCAGGCTGGTCTCAAATTCTTAGCAGTCTTCTTGCCCCTGCCTTCAAGTTCTGGCATGGCAGGTGTAAGCCATCTTAAAGTATACAGTTTAGTGGGTTTTGGCCTAAAGTTCTGGAATCATCACCATTACATGACGTGGGGGCATTTTTATTATTGGCCCAAAGGAAACTCTACCCATCTGCAGTCAATTCCCACTCCCCACTGCTCTGACCCTTGGCAACCACTCCCCTGCATCTTGCCTGTATGGATTTACCTGCTGTGGACACATCAAACATCAGACTCATGCCGTATGTGGCCTTTAGTATGGCAGTTGGAGCCCATCCTGTAACATGCATCCCAGGTCAGCCTTGCTCAACAAACTATCCCTCAATTGCTAGCCCATGGTGGAGCTGTCTGCTCCCAGCACCTGAGACATAGACCCTTGGGACTCAGCACACATTCCTCTGAGGCCCACAGACTGATGGCTGTTCACTGAGTCATTGGCTTGTCTGATACATACTTAAAGAACACTCATTGTGTCTTGGGGGAGTGTTCTGCAGACAAACTAGCAGGAAAAACAGGCAAAAAACTCCAACAACAACAACAAAAAAAAAAAAAAAAAAAGACAAACAAACAAACAAAAAACAAAAAATCAACCAACCAACCAAACAAACAAACAAAAAAAAACCCCTTGCTTTTGTGGCACTTATATGCCTCTGAGTGTGTGTCTGTCTGTCATAACCAGTATCATAAATAATAGTATATCAGGGCTGGAGAGATGGCTCAGCCGTTAAAGGCTAGGCTCACGACCAAAAATATAAATAATAGTATATCAGAAACAAAAACCATGGAGTAGCCTGATCTGGGAAAGGGCAAGAGAGCTGTGGAGATGAGAGCTGGGCTGTCGTGGGACCTCACGAAGCAAGCAGCATCCAACCAAGGCTGCTCTTTTGACATAGTACCTTGTGTTCATGTTGATGCTGAGGACACATTTTTCCATGATATTTTTGGGCTTAAAATAGATTAATTCATTTATTCAACAAGTGTTTGCTGAGAATACGCGTGGCTCCCAACTGTATTTTAGGCCTTGGCTCAAATGTCAACTCTTCATGAGGCTTTCTCTTCCAAACCTCCGTCTGGTTTTCCTGTTGTAATTCATAGTTTATATGAAAGTTAAAAATGACTCTAAATTGTTGTCGTCTCACCATCTTGAAAAATTGAAAAAAATTGTTTTCAGAACATTTCACACTTGTGTGTGAGGCATCTTGATTGTATCCACCCCTCACTGCCCCTCCAATGTCCCCCAGGGCACCCCATCGAATTTATCTCTGCTCTCTGCTGTGGGTGTGATGCTACCAGTTGTTCCCAGTTTCTTACCATGATTTTCCCACAACAGTGGCCTGGAATCTGGAATTGTGAATGGATCAAACCATTTTCCCAGGGTTTTTTTTTTTTTTTTTTTTTTTTTTTTTAATTCACAGAAGGAGAAACGGAAATAGTACTCTGCCTGAGTTTACCCTGTTGACAGTTGTCAGATCTGTGGCAGGACAGCCCTTTGTCTTCTCGAGGATGTCAGGTGGGAGCAGAGGTCCAGCCCCACACTGTGTTTGCTGTGGTCCATTGACAGAGTCCATCCTACAGTATACCCACCATAGTGATCACCCTTCAGTGTGTCTTTAATCCTCACCCACTTTTTATGTCCATGTCTAGGAAAAGGGTCCCAAGAACAAGCAAGCCTGGGCCACTGTCAAACTCTGGTGTCTCATTTCTAGAAAAATCTCATTTGGGGAAGTTGCCACCATCTCTGGTGGCCCAGAACTATTCATAAGTTGGTGAGGAGCCAGGCACTCAGGAGGCAGAGGCAGGTGGATCTCTGAGTTCAAGGCCAGCCTGGTCTACAGAGTGAGTTCCAGGACAGCCAGGGCTACACAGAGAGACCCTTCAAAAACAAAAGCCAAAAAGAGATGGAGATGGAAGAGGAGGAGGAGGAGGAGGAGGAGGAGGAGGAGGAGGAGGAGGAGGAGGAGGGGTTGTTGAAGTTGTTGTTGGGGACAAAAACCAGTCTATGTAAATGACAGGATGTCATTCCCCATTTTTATTTCCTTCTCTTTTCTCGACTACACATCACCATTATCATCATTGTGAGTGATGCAGGGACCGGTGTCTAGATGTGGTCCTTGGGGACAAGCTGATGAGTTGGTCCTCCCCATGACTATCTTTCTCACACACATGTTTGAGCTGCAGCCACATGGTGCACCTCCACCCCATCTCAGGGGTCCCCAGGGACATAGGGAGGGGGCTAACCTGTACTATAGGGTGATGCTTCCCCCAGAGATGGAGACTTATGCTCCAGCCTGAAATGCTGTATGCCTGAACTTGCCCAACACATACTCTCCTGCACATTCCCACTCCCACCACATAAATGTACACTCTTGCACATGCCCTCTCATTCCCATACATACCGGCATACACACACTCTTGCACAAACCCATTCACATCCATATCCAGTCTCCTACACACACACACACACACACACACACACACACACACACACACACACACACACACAAACACTTACTTCTGAACATGCCCCCACACTGTCACACAAGCCATGGATGCTCGTTTCATGGGCACTTGCTGGCTGTGTTATGACTACCTTGTGGCTGGCACTTGGATGCTGGTTTCTCAATGGCAGCCATCATTATTAAACTGAGACTCAATGAGCTCTCTTCTCAGTTTTTCAAGGCTTATCAAGAGTGGATTGGGAGCAGGTGAAATTAATAGTTATGAGCCAATTTCCATATAAATGAACTTATTAGAAAGTACCCTAGGTGCCTGAATTAGATTTCCTTCTGGTTTGAGAGAAAATACTAAAAAACAAAAACAAAAAACAGTGCCCTCCCAACCCCCAAAATAAATAAGGCCCTCATAGCAACAACTCCATGGTGACCGCCTTTCTATTTACAGCTGGTTGGTTGTGGGCAGCTCCTGCATCTGGACCAACTCATAGGCTGGAGAGTCAGGGAGTAGCAGGATGTGCATAGTTTAGAGGATGATCCAAGTGTCTCACCCAACAGGACTACCTATTCTCCTTGCTCGCCTCAGAGCTCACACACAGCTCTAGCAGGGATGACACATGGAACCTTCTCCATGGCCCCCTTGCTGGTTACTCAAAGGCAGCCGCCATTATTAAATGCTGAGAGACTTCCCTGGTTCTGAGAGAAAGAGAAGGTTCCATCTTGTAGGAGAGAGCATCCCTTACAGGAGACACACGGGTAAATACCATTGCCACATCCAGGCATTGGACGCCATCTTTGGGACCTCTTGAAACAGGAGGACAGCCTAGAGTTGAGTGGTCCTCACTCCTTGTTTTATACCAGTTGTTGGTGTGGGGAAGCTGTCCATGGAAAGAGATTTATCTCGGTGAAGCATCAGGCAGCAGGTTCTTTTCCTTAATGTTTTCCTCACAGATTGAACAACCGGGACACCAGAGGCAGAGCTTGTGAGGTTCCACGAGGCAGGGCAGAGGTCCCGAGCCCCCTTTAGGCCAAACAGACGCAGCAGCAGAGAAGGCACAAGATGGTCTGGGGGACTCAGGCTGTGGGGAGCTGGGGAATCAGCTTCCCTGCCCTCATCCTCCTAGGGTCCCAGTCAATTTAGATGCAGGGAGATGGCAAGAGGCTCACAGGATAGAGTCCACCGCAGACCCGTGCTTTTGGCGTTTTGTTCTCCTCTGTCTTTGGCAGATGATTTCCAGAGCAGTAGCTAGCTAGCCTTTATTTACCAAGAGCTCTTGTTTACAGGAGTATGTATATGTGTGTATGGGGGATGGGTATGGGTGTTAGTGGGCATGTGCAGGTGTGTGTGTGTGCATGTGCGTGTGCGTGTGCGTGTGCGTGCGTGAGTGCGTGCGTGCGTGCGTGCGTGCGTGCGTGCGTGTGTGTGTGTGTGTGTGTGTGTGTGTGTGTGATGAATCAAGGCAGATAGGTGGGATTTTTGTACAGTATATTGAATCCAGTTTGGGGCTGATGGAACGGAGTCCAGTTTAACCTTCCTGTCAGTTTCTATAGTTACCCGTGTTATCTTTTCTAACCATCGATCTCTTGTTGATCCCACAAGCCCATAACATCACCATCACTCTGTAAATCCTGGAGAGTTTGAGCCAGGGGCTCATGAGTTACAGGAAAGCTTCACAGACAGAACAAAAGCTGTGCCTCCTGGACCAGAGGGGTGGGGAAGCTGTGTCAAATGGTTCTGGGCTTTCCCTGAGTGTGACCTGATGGTGCTCTGGGGGTGTGTGGAGGGCAGAGAGCTATGCAAGGCATGCCCAGAGATGTGACAAATCTAGGCTCTTGTAATCTTTTTTTTTTCTTCTTTTCTTTTTGTCAACTTGACATAAGCTAGGGTCATCTAGGAAGAGGGGACCTCTATTGGGAAAATGCTTCCATCAGATTGGCCTGGGCATTTCCTTGATTAAATGGTTGATGTGGGAAGGCCTGGCCCACTGTGGGTGGTGTCACCCCTAGGCAGGTGGTCTTGGGGTGTATAACAAAGCAGGCCAAGCAAGCCAGCCAACAGCATTCCTCCATGACCCTCCACTTTATTTCCTGCCTCCAAGTTCATGTACTGACTTCCCTCTATGATAGACTGTCAGCGGTAAGCTGAAATACTCCCTCCACCTCCCCGCCATATTGCTTTATGTCATGATGATTGTCACAGCAGTAGAAAGCCAACTAAGACAGGACCTCACTCAACAAAGGACACTTTTTCTTTAGGGAAGGGTTGCATACCCACTCTGACCTGCTGCCACCCATGGGTAGCCTGTGAATGAGTCTCCATCCTCTCTACCAGTCAGACTAACTCCTCATTGACAAAGAGGACTGTGGCCGCTTCCAGGCTTCTTTGCTTTCGGCAGAATCACACACTTCATGCTAAACCTTGCTGCGTGTCTGTTTTCCAGGGCAAATGGCTCCTACTATGAGATTCTACAAGTGGACTTCGGCGTTGACAACAGCAGTGGCCTGGCTGGGGCCCAGCAAATCACCTGGCAGGTGGAATACCCCGTGGAAGACTCCATGAGCGAGCTCTTTGTCTCTGAGATCTTCATCAGCCAGACCACCTTTGTGGGCATCGTCCCTCTTGCCATGGTAAGAAACCAGAGCTCGTGACGAAGAGCCATGAAGAAACTTCCTTTGCGTATTTTTTCCCTTTGTTATCTTCGTGGACGTACATATGTGGGTATGCCTGTGTGTGCATACACGTGGATTCCCTTGGCTCATACCAGGATTATCCATCATTGTTCTTCCATCTTATGAGTCAGGGTCTTCCAATCAAACACAGAACTTGCTGATAATATCCAGTTTCTTGAGCCAATTTGCTCTGGGGAACTCCCTGTCTCTGCCTTCTCAGCCTAGAACCACTCTTGGGTCACCTCACCCACCAGGTACTTGTGTGCGTACCCGGGGATTTGAGCTCCAGTCCACACATGTACACGACAAGCACTTTAACCACGGAGCCATGCCCCGACGCCTCCTCTTAATACTTAAATCACTCAAAGAAGCATAGAGTGTCTTTGAACCTATCATCCCTCACACACTTGGTGTGCACTATTTGAATGAGGGAAATATACTTAAGCAGTGTTTTATTTACCTGCTTTCCATAAGGGCTCCTGGGGAGCCATTTAGGATTTACTGTATCAATCTCTTTTCATCTGTGGTATTGCCAAGTGGCTCCCGGGGACCCCTTGTCTTTCATTGCTTCCATCTGTGTTCATATCAGGTCCAAGTGTTATACTTGGGGAAGACTGGTTTCACTGAAGTGTGTCGTGAGTGTGTGCAGGGGACGGAGGATCCAGAGGCCCAGGAACCAGCCCCTCGTCACTTGGCACTGCCCTGAGCACCCCCAGGTGGCCCGGGGATTGGCAACATTTAAAATGCAGATGGACTAAAAGAGCCTTGTTGGGAACAGACCGGCTGAAGCTGGACAGGGTCCCAGTGCCCATTAAACTGCCCACATGTCTGCCCTGTTGGCATGGCAGGGATGGCATTTCTTCCTCTGAGCGTGTCTGGGACCCTGTTCATATAAGGCTCAGGAGCCACAGTTGAGAACAGGGTCATGGATAGAAATCCAGATCCTCAGAAGCATGATGATGGTGGGCACACACTGGAAATGTTAAATATATATATATATATATATTTTGTGCTGCTTGGACCTTCCTATATTGGACCTAAATGCAGGGGAATCCACATCCAGATATTCTGGGCCACTGGTGGCTGAACACATGACCCCAATGCTCCAGTCGCAGCTGCTAGTCATCTTGGTTTTAAAGACCAGTTCATCATAGTGACATGCATTTGGCTCCGTGGCAGCCACAGCTTGGCAGGAAACCATGTGTTCAGGAGCAGCGATGGGTGGACCTGAGTTCTAGGGGGAAGCAGAGTTTTCCTGTAGCTCCTCTCCCTGGGAACACACCTGTTAATTCTCCAGCTCACCCTGCACGTGAGGCTGGCGTGGCTGATCTCTTCTCAGGGTTCACTGTGGCTTTGCTCCATGTATGATTGGTTACACCCACTTCCCCACAAGTTCCGAAGCCTGGCATGGGACAGAACTGGATGCCGAAGGGGTGTACCTCACCGTCTTCAGAGGCAGGTGCCGGTTCCCAGGGGGAGCTGTGGGTTGACACGTGCCTATCTGATAGGAGGGTGGAATCAGGTCAAGATACCAGGGTTGGCTAAGTGCAGTCCTCAGGCCAAATCCAGGCCGACGATGCCTGTTTTAGCAAATAAAGTATTATGGGAACACGAGCCCACTTAGGATGAGTCACCTGTGGCTACTTGGGTGCTGTGACGAGGCTGTATATTTGCAGTAAGGCATGCATCTCTGGCTGGCGTTTAATTTTAGCATCCTGTAATGAGTAACATTTGGAGATGTTTCCTGAGACTGGAGCTGCTAAGAGGCTTTGGGGAAATCTTGTCTCTTGCATTAGGGATCATTTCCCCGAGATCTGTACCAAAAACGCTCCTACCCTCTTTGGCCAGTGGTTCCATGTCCTTTCTCAGATGCAACCTGAAACCCGGGCTGGTGTGTCACTGATGAGTCGGTCACATGGTGGGGACAGAATAGAACTGGGGGAGAAGGATCTGGCTGAACACAAAGGGAATGAAGGCAGGGAAAGCAGACTGGTGCGTGCCAGATGCCTGTCCTTTCCATAGCCTTCCTCTCATGGCCAGGCTGGTGGAGCAGCATGCCTCTCATGTGGACGGACATCATGTGGCTCATATGGGGCTTGTTCCTCTCTCTTATCTGTCTCCAGTGCCTCCTCCTAGCACTCCTGCATCCCTTGGAGGTACCAGTTTATATCCCATGCATCCTGCTCTGCTGTGACTCTTCACATCTCTCCGTGTGGCTGAGTTTCACTTAGGGACACTTCCTTGCTTTTGACTTCGCTTGCCATTGGCGGGAAAGTGGGGCAGCTGAATGTGTCATGGCTTGGTTCCCCGTGAAGGGCTCGGAATGACTCCAGGTGGGGGGTGAGGGATGGCTGAGCTTGCTTAGTAGAGTTTCCTAAGGATTCGATGAGTTGCTGTAGGTGAAGTGTCTGCACTCATTAATATTAATATATTTTCCATAATTGTCAGCATGTTAATTAGCATATACAGGGAAAGCTGCCAAATGTGAGAACAAACAGAAGTTGCATCTTAGGCTAGGAGGTAAGGTGGCATTTCTCTTAGAGGTTTGGATGTTGAATTTCCCAAAAAGATCAAGTGTGGGAACACTTGGTCCCCAATAGGTGGCGCTGTTTCAGGAGGCCATGGAGGCTTTAGGAGGTGGGGCCTGGCTGGAGGAAGTATGTTGCTGGGGATAGAGGTTTGTATCCCCACTTCCCATCCCTCTCTGCTGAGATGTGAGTATAGAGTGTTGAGCTTCTGCGAGCACACGATTTGGCCATGCCTCTGTACATCCCCTGCCATGATGGACTATATCCCCTCAAGCTGTGGACTGAAATGAGTCCTCTTCCTTCACCCCACTATTTCCAGTTACTTCGTTAGAGCGATGAACAAAGACGCTCAATTTGCTGTTGTGTGTGAGGCTTTTTCTGGGGAGACTCAACCCACAGGTTTCCTTACCCAAGATAGGGGTAAGACAAAAAGCCGTGACCGCACCAAAGTCCAACTTGGGAAACTGTCTCCATACCACATACTGAAACTGACATTCTTCCCCTCTGAAACCTCTTGAGCTGGGCCTGCAGTACCGCTATCTTCCTTGTCTCAACTAGGATGGCCCAATAAGTCCTGCTTAAAACATTCAACTGCTATTTGTTGTCCAAATTCCCAAAGTCTTCCATATTTCTCCAACAAACAGCACGGTCAGGCCCATCACAGCAATACCCCACTCCTGATACCAACTTCTGTCTTAGTCACTGTTCTATTGCTGTGAAGAGACACCATGACCAAGGCAACTCTTATCAAAGAAAGCATTTATATGGGGGCTTGCTTAAAGTTTCAGAGGATTAGTCTGTGCCATTATGGTGGGAAGCATGGCAGTAGATAGGCAGGCATGGTGCTGGAGAAGTAGCTGAGAGCATCACAACCTGATCTGGAGACAGTAGGCAGAGAGTGTGGAGGAGAGAGAGGAGGGAGGAAGAGGGGAGAGAGAGGGGGGAGAGAAGGGAGATGGGAGAGGGGGAGGAGAGGAGAAGGAGGGAGGGAGGAGAGAGAGAAGAGGAGAGAGAGAGAGAGAGAGAGAGAGAGAGAGAGAGAGAGAGAGAGAGAGAGAGAGAAGGGCCAACCATGGGCTTTTAAAACCTCAAAGCCCACCCCTAGTGACACACTTCCTCTAATAAGGCCACACCTCCTAATCTTTCCCAAACAGTTCTTCTGCCTGGTGACTAAACATTCAAACATATGAGCCTATTGGGGCCATTTTCATTCAAACATAGGAACCAATAAGTTTATTGGGGTTTGAACAGCAGTGTGGGTGAGGGGTTAATTATAGGAGCAGGGATAACTCATCACTGAAAAATCTACCCCAGTGCCGGTGACGGCTCATGGAAGCTGCAACCCTGGGGCTCTCTGCAAGACTTGCAGGCAGCTGGACGGTCTGCTTGTCTCCTCCAGGCAGCTCAGCAGAGAGTCTGTTCCTCTTGCAGGTGTTGACTGCTTCTAAATCTTGGGGTCCTCCAGAATCTTATACATTTCCGCTTTCCCAGAAATGTGAAGTTTGCCTACTTCCTGAGTCTCATGAGCCTCCTGCACCGTCTTGGAGTATACAACCCTTAGGGAGCCAGACACAGCCACAGGGTGGGTGGGAATCCAGTGTGCCCCAAGATTCATTTCCTGCCAAGGAAAGTCAAGGAAGACTGGTGGCGGCAGGGCAGGGGCAGTCTGTATGATTCTTAAAGGTGGTTGATATTGGCTAGAAGGACAGGAAGACCTTTAAGGCTGAGGAGCAAGACGGTGTTTGGGAAGCCTAGTAGGAGTGTGTGTGTGTGTGTGTGTGTGTGTGTGTGTGTGTGTGTGTGTGTGTGTGTGGTGTGTATGTGTACATGGCAGTCCAGGGCTGCAGGTGAGGTGGCGTGGCTGCCGCTTAAGCACAGGGAAGGTAAGGCAGGATGGGGCAGGAGGCAGCCATGTTGGGTTCTTCTGCTATGCCGTGATGTCAGAACCCTGATCTGGGGCCATTATTTATTTGAATAATTTCTTGGATCACAGTACATTTATTGACCGACAAGTGTTTATCAGAGTTTTGCTAAGCTTTGTGTTCTCTACCTTCAAGGACCTTATAAAAGGTTCTGAAGGAAGTTGTCTTCCATCCCTTCCTCTCTTCGTCTTTCATCCTTTCTGCCCTATGAAGATGCAGCCTCTCATTTTTCTCCAGAGGACACAGCCACAAGGCGCCATCTTAGAAATAAAGAGACCGGATGGATCTTCACAGATACGGAACCCAATAGCAGCCTGATCTTCTCAGCCTCCAGAAGGAGAATGAAATTTCTGTTCTTTATAAGGTATCCAGCCTCAGGTATCTTGCTACAGCAGCACAGATGGACCAAGACGCCTGTAATGTGCCGAGGCTTGCATTAGGTCATGTGAAGGCAGGGTTATCAATAATTAAATATTGATTTATATAGCAGGATTGTTTCCTGTCATCA